AAGGCCCGGAATGGAAGGGCACCCTCCGCCTAACCTCGCTGGAGGTTTTAGCTGAAGTGGCCTCATCTGGACAAAGCCGCCTCTGGGAGGAGCCAAAACAAGAAAGGAGGATCCATATGGCCTGTACCCGGATGAGCGGCTGACAGCTAAGGAAACGGAGCGGTGCCTAGGCCAGAAGTCCCACAGTGAGGAAGGACTCCACCTGTGAGACACCTAAGTCCCAGGGATGACGGAAAAGACAGATGTCGCATTCCAGGGATTGAATGCTCTGGAAAACCACTAGTCAAGCTGCAAGCAGCAGGAACTATTAAGGGATGGTTGAAGAGGGAATTAAAGAGGAGGAGGAGAAAGCAGGTGGGTGGGGGATGGGAGGGCTGGAGAAGAGGAGAGGGAGGGGGAAGAAGAAGAGGAGGAGGAGGAGATCTTGCTTCTTACACAGAGCCCCAGGACCCCAATCTTTTAGGGAGGAAATATTGCCTATTCACATGACCTTTTCTAGATGAGAATAGAGAAATAGGGCCTGTTGTTTCAGGTACTAGAACTTTTCCTGCTGGGACTGTGCTGGAAGAAAAACCATGGCTGGGCCTTTTAGATAGAGGATGTTGCCCTCAAGACCAGCCAGTAGGAAAATAGTTCCAAGTGACAAGTGGCCTTGAGGATTAAGCCCCTAATTGGAGAGGCAGATGGCCCCAGTTCCAAACTGTCTCTCTGTGGCTCTATCACAGTCTGGCTGTGGGTGAGTCACTTCCCAGAGCATTTCACTTTCCCATCTGCAAAATGCAGCGACAGTCCCAGACCTGAGGATGGGGAGGAGAGGGGAGGGGCAGGAGGAGTCTGGGAAGAGTAGACAGAACTTCAGGTTCGGCAGCTTGGCTCCAAGAAGAAGAAGAAGCAAGGCACCAATTTTCTCCCTTGGGTGAGAAGTATTTGCTTCTATGTTGGGTGACAGACTTTGCCCCAGCTCCACCTAAGCCGAATTTCCCTCCAGCGCTGAGCTCCATAAAAGGCCCTGCCTGTCGGAAGGGTGGCAGAGTTTAGAAACGTGTTCCCTCACTCCAGCCTCCCTGGGCATGACGCTAATACATGTCTCAGCAAAATAAAAAATGAGCATGTCGTCGCCCTTGGGGGTCTCGGGCAAAGGGTCAAAAATACAAAAATATCAGTAATGTTCGTGGAATTTTTGTCTGATTATGAATGAGCTAGGTGCATGTTTACAAAAACTAAATGTCCAAAACCTATAAAGAAGATAATAAAAATGACCCATAAATAACTGTTAATATTCTGGTGTATTTCCTTCCAATCTCTCTATATGTAAATAAGATAATGGGATCATATTATGTGAATCCAATATTACATCTTACTTTTTATACTTTATACTATACTGTGGGCATTCTCCAAGGTCATTAAATATTCTTCAGAAGCATGATTTGTAATAGTTTCATAAAATTTCCTCCTATGAGTATGATATAATTTATTTAACCTTCACCCATTTAAGGACATTTATGTAGGCTGTTTCCTAATTTTCTCTCTTATAAATAATGGTATACTTAAATTCTTTGTATGAATTTATGATTATTTCATGAGGGCAGATTCCCAGAAGTGAAATAACCAGGTAATAGTCAGCAGGCTTTCAGTGGCAAATAGCAGAAAACCAAACTCAAACTAGGGTGGCTACCAGCCATGGTCAGGGCTATAGGTGTCCTAAATCGTTATGTCTAGCGGGACAGTGTACACTTCCATCTCTGCCTTCCAGGCAAGAGTCTGAAGATTCACTCTGATTGGAATATAGATCCTACGCCAATCAATCAACAAACACTGTGGAGCGGGAGTTCAAATGTTCTAATTGCCTTAAGCCAATCAGAGACATCCATGAAAGCAGGGAGAATGACAGGTTCCCTTTGGTCTCTTGCAGAAGAAGAGATGTCCACACAGAAACCTGAACAGCATTCGGAAAGAGAAAGGCAGAAATGAGGGCTGAACAAATACCAACAATTATTCACTACAAGAATGAACTTTGTAGGAAGCTTGCTATGAATGTTCAAATTACTTCCCATAAGGGTTATACAATTGCAAAATCAGAGTGTATTAGAAGGCCTGTCTAACTGTGTCCTCACTGGCACTGATTATTTTATTCAAAAAAATAATTTTAATTACCCACTTCCAATTTGATTAGCCTAAATAACTCTCACTGTCACATCCTGATTTAAATTTCTATTTCTTTGATTATTGTTATGTGCTTGTAGCCATTTAGGATTTCAAAACCTTTATAAACATCCTAAAGGATGCTAACCCACAGGCTGATCTACTGCATCCCTGACCAGGAGAAGCAAAGATCGCAATATCTCAGCCCTGCCTCCACTGAGGGGAGCCTGTGTTTGATCTCTAGCCGTTAACAGCACTTAGCGAGCACCTGGGTGCCCTACTGTCCTCTGTACTTCTAGGAAGACAATTTTCCCTCAGTCCCAGTCCCAGTTCCTAGTTTGCCATCCAGCGTCCCACTGGGATTGGAGTTTCGATATTTCGCTCCAAGTTGGAAGGATGGCTCGCTACACCTTAGCCCCATATTTCCAGCCAGAGTCCTGGTTTTTCATAAGCAGGAGAGGAAGGCCCTGCCCCCAAGGTGCTGCATTGCTGAGCTCTGAGAATCTCCACTGCACCCTCTCCTTGGGGACTGAGCCTCTTACAGTGTCATCTCAGCACCTTGACTGTGCTAGTACTTATGATATAATTGACTGTTTGCAAGGCCACTTCTCTCTAAAACTGGCCCTCATGACTTGTTTCCTTTCTCCCCCCTTCAGCTCACCATGGAGCTCTCACCCTGCATCGCTGCCATGGCCGACCCAATACTGCCAATGTCATGAAGTCTGCTCATGCTGCATAGACCATTGCTCGGCCCCTTTTGGAACCCTCCACTACTTAGCGTCCTCCTTCCTGGGGGTTGGCATTAGGAAAGAGGAAAAGATATACATTGTTGAAAGGTAGAAATGGGCTTACGTTTCCATTTACCTCCCAGATAAGGCTCTAATAAGACTCACTAGGAAGGAAGGCCCTGTCAAATAGGTTGTGGGATTAGCAGCACCAACATACGACCTGCTGAGCCCAGACCTAGGATCCCCTGGGAAAAGGGAGTTCATGGCTACTTTTCTAGAAAAGTCTCCCAGGGTGCCGGCTCAATGTGCTGAAAATCTCAGACCAGTTCCTTAACGCTTGGAATGTTGTGGCTAGCAGGGACGTCAGAGATCACCTCCACTTATTCCACTTTTCAGCCCAAAGTGCCGACCTTGGGCTAGTTGCTGGGAGTATAAATACCAATCAGAGATGACCTCTACCCTCAAGAGTAGGAAGGCCAGGACAAATACGTACATGCACAAAAAGTGGTCTTGGTGTTGTGACATCCATTTATTCAGCTGGAGCACAAGGAAAGGATTCAGACTGTTTCCGCAGAAGAGCTACCTACCCTTGGACCGAGTCTTGAAAAGAGAACAGGGTTCTCCAGCTGCACACTACAGCCTGGGATATGCTAAGGATGGAGACAGGTTGAGGAAAAGCAGGAAGGCAGGAAACGTCCTAGTATATCCTGAAGAACTATAGATATTTCAGCATCTCTAGGTCATGAGGACAGAGGGGAAAGGGTGGGGCTACAGAACGTGATCAAACAAACCAAAGGGTTTGATGTTTACACTGCAGGTGGGCTAGAAAGGAAAGGACATCAATATTTATTCCCAATGTCCCTATGGAGATCCAGTGAAGTACCATCCTGAAGGCAAAGAGGAGGTCACCATCATCATAGTGCAGGTGTAAGATAGAAAAGAGAAGGTGTATGAAAGACGGTGAAAGCTAGAATGCACCCAACTTGGTTACCAACTAGATGTGGAGACTGAAGGCTAATGAGTAGCAGAGGAAGGCTCCTAAACCATTCATTCAACCATGTATCCGTTCAATAAATATTGCGAGTACTTGCTTATTGCTAGTTAGGCTTGAGGAGTACATGCCAGTGATGATCCTTGTTTTTATGAAACTTACAGATAATTAAACAAATGATAACAGTAGGAATGATTGGTGCTGTGATAAGGGGAGTACACAGACTAGGGGTGATCAAGCTTTTCTAAGGGACAGACAGAGCCAAGCAAAGAGAACGCTGTTTGCACAGATTCCTGAAGGATGGGCTGAAGTTAGCCAGGTAAAGGCAATGGTGGAGAAGAAAGTCTTCTGCATAGAGAAAAATAATTCACGAGGACTCAGAGGAAAAGAGCATGGCACTTCTGGAAATTGAAAGAGGATAAATATGGCTAGAGTATGAAGAAAGAGGGAAACGGGTGGGATATGGGCACAAAGACTGAATCCAGACAACAAGTGCTAGGTGAGCCATGCTGCCGTGTAGATGGTCCTAAAGGCCAGGTAGGCTACCTGGCAGAGTTGAGAACACACTGTAAGGTCTCAAACTCAGCAATGTGGCTTACCAGCTGAGTGGCATGGCTGGATATGCACCTGGGAAAGACGATTCTACCTGCATTGCAGAGAACGGTTTGAAGAGGAGCAAGACTTGAGGCAGGAAGGACCTCCTACCTGATAGGAGGTCCATGTGATCGGAATTAAATTAAGGCCAGCCAGCTGGGTGGTGCCCCGGGCCTCCATCTATGAGAGGAAATGAATTCTCACTTTCTAAAACTTCAATGGAAATGTAACAAGAAGGAGACAATTGTATGTTCCAGATGTCCTGTCAGGCAGAAACATTGCATGTGATTGGGAAAAAGGCTTTCCTAAGCTACTGTCATTGTGAGGACACCTCCCTGCCTCAACCAGCCCTCCCTACCCTGCCAAGGGACACGGCAGACTTACAGCAGATGATTTCTGAATAATTTAATAAGGAAGTATGTGAGTATGAGGCCAGAGCTGAATTGTTCAGGGCAATAAAACAGAGGTCGGCAAGCTTTTTTCTGTAAAGAGCCGGATAGTGAATAGGTTTTGCAGGCCAGACCCTGTTTGTCACACCCACTCACCTCTGATGTTCTTTTCGCAGCCGCAGCCGTGGACAACACATAAACGAATGGGCGTGGCCGCATTCCAATCCGACTCTGTTTACAAAGCAGGTGGTCAGCTCGCCGGTCTTCGCTTGCCAACCCCTGCAATAGAAGGATCATTTGAGTGCTTCTTCCCTGGGTGTACCTTTACTGCAATGCGATTTTCCTCTAAATAAATGATGAATGTGCCCTGAAACAATGTTGTTTTGAAGTTATGCCGATTAAAAACTAGCCTGCCTGGAGAACCCACACATCTCGCATCACCCCTTGAATGACAGGCAGCTGTGTTCTGGACAGAGCCAGTGGGGCAGAGGAGTGGACGGAGCTAAGGTCCACTCCGATGGCGGCATTATTAGGACTTGGTGACTGGCGGGCTGCGGTGTTAGGCAGAGGATGGAGTTAAGACAGACTTCTGCGTCTTTCTTAACAGCTGGTAGACCGTGGGGCAAGGAGAGGAGAGGGAGCTGTTTTGGGGAGTGGGAATGAATAGAACACTTTAGATGTTTTCTATTTGAAGTGTCCACATGACGTACAGATGGAGTGATCTCTCCAGTAACAAGTGCGATTTCTGAGCTTGCAGACCAAGAGATACTTCCTGGGCTGGAAATAGAAGTTTGAAAGTCACGAGTAAGGAAACGAGTGAAAGAGCTCAGAAAGAAAGAATGGCAGAGGGCTAAGAATGAGCCCCGAGGGACACCGGCCTTTAAGGGACAGGTAGAGGGAGGGGAACGAGAGTCGGAAACGGAGAAGGAGCAGCCTGAGAGATGAGATGAGATTAAAAGCAGACAGGCATGAGGTCCCAGAAGTCACTGGAAGAGGATTTTAGGAGAGGGCCCTGGTCAAGAGGGTTCAGTTTGTAGAAAGGGAGGAGAGAGAGAATGGCTGAAAAGAAAGGGGGACCAAGAGGATTTTCTGAAAGTGATAGAGCCGTATAAGCAGCTACAGCGTCCCCCCATGGCCCCGTGCAGCTTATTTTACATCAAGGCTTAGACCTCCTTAATTCTGGCTTCCATCTTTCCCTTCCTCTCTCCCCAGCAGAGCCCACTAACCAACAGGAATAAACAACCCAGGTGCAACATCTAGGCCCCAAGCGCAACGGGCAGGAAGGTTAGGTATTAAAGAAGAGACATTTGACTTCCCACGGACGGTACCTGGGTGCTGGAGACAACCATTACAAAGAGGCAGATTTAGGCCCAGGCGCAGTGACTCACACCTGTCATCCTAGCACTCTGGGAGGCCGAGGCTGGAGGATCATTTGAGCTCAAGAGTTTGAGACCAGCTTGAGCAAGAGCAAGACACCATCTCTACTACAAATAGAAATTAGCTGGACAACTAAAAATCTATATAGAAAAAATTAGCTGGGCATGGTGGCGCGTGCCTGTAGTCCCAGCTACTTGGGAGGCTGAGGCGGAAGGATTGCTTGAGCCCTGGAGTTTGAGGTTGCTGTGAGTTGGGCTGCCGCCACGGCACTCTAACCTGGGCAATAGAAGTAAGACTCTGTGTGGAAAAAAAAAAAAAGAGGCAGATTAAGAAACAGGAGAGTCCCTGCCTTCTCCTGCCCAGACTCCTCAACATGTGCATGCTCTTCTTTCTGCCCCAGGACTCAGGGCACCAAGGCAAGCCCAGGCCGATGTCCACTGCCTCTCCAGTGACCCTGCTATCCCCTGCATTCTCCTCCCTCAACACTCCTCTTCCAGGGCTGCCACTGCCTCCAAAATCACCCATGCAGGGCTGAGGCAGAACAACGACAATCATCTAGTGCATCAAAGAATCAGGAAAATACTCTAATCCCATCCCATGTAAGGTCAAGCAAAGGCAAGTCTGTGCTGAGGAAGCCCTGGCTGAGCTGCACGGCAGGAAGTGCTAATTGCAGCACGGAGCCCCCACTGAGATCCAGCAGGGTGAACAGGACTGACCTCCCAGCCTGCCCAGCAAGACTCCTCTCCAGGCCTCATCTCTGTGAGGGACGGGGTAGAAACCCTCCCCAGCCACCCCAGAAACTCCGCTGACAACCACACCCCCCGGGACTGTGCAGAAAGGTAATGGGATGTGCTGGGATTGAAGAACAAAGCCCAGTACCCCAGGAGAACCTGAAGGAGGCCACTGGGAGTTCGACTAGGGCAGAGATCCTCTGGGTTTGGAGCCTCCGGTGCTGCTAGGTGCAAAGGCAAGACGTGCAAAGGAGTCTCCTCTCTCAGCTGCCTGCGAAGGCACTCTTTCCTAGAGGGGTTCTCTTATTGCTCTTGGGGTTCCCTCAGATTTCAGTGAGTGATGGTCCCCAGGGCTCCTCGTCAAATATCAGATTTAATCACAAAATATTCACGGTTAGGGCCTTTAGAACCACCATTGGCTCCTAGTTTGTAAGCTGGGGGAAGGGCCAGGATGGTCTTACCTGTATTGTCATGGTAACCAGCAGGCAGCCTGAGAGTCGTCCTGGCCAAGTTCCCAAGCACCTGGCGGGCAGAGGATGTTTGAACCTGTATGTAACCAGCTTGTTGAGCAGTCTGAACTCAGAGGGGTGTGTGCATAAAACAAGTGTATTTTCCCCAGTCATGGCCTCCCTCTCTGGTCTGTAGACGGTCCCTTCCCTAACACGTGGCACTTCCTTTGACAAGATCTCGGACAGACTCCATGACTTGCTGGTCATGTTTGGCTCCTCAAGAGAAGCCCAGGTTAAAGTTTCAATCTCTTCTAGACTTAAATCACATCTCTCCCCCATTCCTCCTGCACAGTTCCGGGCTGTGTTGGTTTCCCAGGGCTGCTGCCACGAAGTGCAACCAACTGGGGGCCTTAAAACAGCAGAAATTCGTCAGCTGAGTTCTGCAGGCTAGAAGTCCAAAATCTCCAAAATCAAGGTGTTGGCAGAACTGTGCCCGGTCTGACAGTGCTAGGGAAGAGTCCTTCCTTGTCCTTCCAGCTCCTGGCGGCCCCATGCATCGCGTGGCTTGTGACAGCAAAGCTCCCATCTACACGTGGCTTTCTCCCTGTGTCTGGCACATGTGCTTGACACTGTCCAAACTTCCCTTTTTACAAAGACACCGGTCACATTGGATTGGGGCTCCCCATAATGATCTCAATTTAACTTCATGGCTTCTATAAGGCTCTACTTCCAAATGAGGTCACATCCGAGGTACTGAGGGTTGGAATTTCCACCTGTCCTTTTGGAGAGACACATTCAACCTCTCACAGGCTGGGGCCTGGGACTGTGATTTGACTCTGAGCCACCGCTATGCCTGGACCCTGTGCATCCCGACTCCCCCAGTGATGTTGGGGAGGGGAAAAGGAAAAGGGAGGGGGACACGTGTCTCTTCATATGGCTCACCACCTCCATGGTCCTCTCTCTGCTGATTGTGGCCTGGCCACTGAAGCCCTCCATGGGGCAGACTTCCAGTCGTGGGCTGTCCCCCAGGGACGCACGTGAGTTCTTCAGGGTGCCTGTGAGCCTCCCACAGCACACCCCTTGTGTGTAACTACACACAAGCTATGTTCACCTACAGCTTGACCTTGTCCACCTCTCGGTCCTCCAGTTTGCTGGCCTGTGAACTGCCCCCACCTCCCCAGCCTCTGCTGCAGAGGCCCTGACACTTGGTAGGTTTCGTGCCCAAGATACCCATCCCAAAGCAATAGGAAACAGTTCACTCACCATCCTCTGTGTGTGGGAATGTGTGTGTATGTATACATACACACACATGTACACACATATGTGCATATCCCGCAGCTAAGATATCACTGACACAAAGCAACAGCAAGCGAATTAATGTCTTGGATGATGTAGAAAACTTAATAAGTTGGTATCAGCCCAGAATTATTGGCACTATCCATGAGACAAATTTTCCTTCCCTTTCCTCCTTTTTCTAAGGCTAACGATTGGTTTTGAACATCATTTTCATGAGCTAAGAACTCATGGAGATAGTTGAAGAAATAATGGTTACAATTTGCTGATTACAAGTAGACATTAGTTTAAAAGGACAACACACAATGAGCACTACTGTTTATTGATTACTTTCTATATGCCTGGCACTGTGCTAAATGTTTTTATATGCATGATCTAATTTCTCTCCAAGCCTTGGGAGATAAGAACTTTTACCACCCCTATTTTATAGAAAACTGCTTACAGCAGTTAGGGACATGACCCCAGATCAAGCTGCTAATAAGATCTGGAGCCGGCAGTTGCGTGCTGCCAGGTTCCCTTTCTGGCCACAGCAACCAGCTACCTTCCTTGGAACCCACATGGTACACCCTCCACCGCTGAATCCTGCTGACCTAGGACTCCTTGGTCATTTCTCAAAATTCATCCCCTCTCCCACCCATGTGCCAACACCCCAAGTCCACAGGGCATTTAAATCAGTGCTTAGTGTCATTTGTCATTGGTCCCCCTCCCCCCAACCCCCCACCTCCACCCCTGTGTTATCCTGCACTGCACTTCACTGCCTCTAGAATCCTGTGAATTTGCATCCACCCAAACTGAGCTGCAGTCCTGCTAATAAATGCTGAGCTCAAGTGGAGTTCATCAATATTTTAGGTTAAATAAGGGTGCAAGGGACAGAGAATAAAAATAGTCACGCACACACAGGGAGGGGGGAAAATGTTCCCCTCAATAAAAACTGAAGAGAGAGGGAGAGAAGAGGGAAAAATGATCACATTAATTCTTTTTACCTCTCAGAGGTCAATTTGAAATATTCAGGCTAGAAGAAAATCTATGTAATATAACAAAATTCATGTGCAATTATAATTAGCTCTGGCAGTATTTTTGTTGTGTTCAAAGCATCTTTGAATATGAAATTGGGAAAGGCAATGGAATGGAAAAGAGAGAACAGGAAGCTGACAGAAGGGAAGAAGGAGAAAGTCCAGATTGAGGCCAAGTGGGAGGAGGGAGAGAATTTGCGTTCAAGTTCCTCTGGCATTTTCTCAGCAGAGTGTCACCTGTCAAGTGAAGACAGCCATTGTCAGAGGCTCCGGAAACACTTATAGTAAATGTCTGACCACAGTGCAAGGTTATTTATAAA